TACCTTTTACAAGCCCGTAGAGAAGCCCTGCAGAAAAATTATGCATCTTTTCGGGAACTAAATGTATATATAGGCCATTAATTTCATCAGTATGAAAGGATACTTTGTGTTTCCATATCAGCCACTGGCAACAGCAGATGGACAGCGTGAGGCGAGAACTGTTTACCATTGCTAAGATCTTGTTGTGGCTTGCTTCAGTCTTGCTCGTTTCTCTCCACCAGCCAGGGCCCGCACGCCGCCATAGAAGATGTGCTTGGCTTGTCAGGCCTCAGCAGCTTGCGCGCTGTGGAGAGCTTAGGGTAGTTGACGGTCCAGGGTCCAACTCTGAACTAAGCTCTGCGCACAGTACTGGATGTGTCCGTCCTTGGCGGGAGTGACCTTGGAGGCTTAGGCCGAGAAAAGTGCGAAGCGCCTACGCCGAGACCACCCAAGTAATCATCATAGTCAACGCGTGTGCAACTGCCTGCGTTTTGCTGCAATGCTTTGGCAACGTACGCCTGAACACATGCAACGGACGCTGATTCCCGATGGCGTTTAGAGCTTAAGAATTTGGGAAGCACTTCAAGGACACCGCTTATCTTGAGGGCGGGCAGTGCTTCTGATGCCCACAATGCTCTCCACCCACCCGTTCTTGCACATTACAAGCTGTGAAAACACCGCACCAAAGTGGTGCAACAACAAGGAAACGCGAAGTTGCTTTACTTGAGCAACCATTCCCTCGAGGCACATGCCCATGCCCACGAAATCTGACGCTAACGCCCACTCCGCCCACCCTACGCCGCACAGACCCTAGACCCTGCGGCCTAAAAGCCTGCATCACCATAACCCTAAACCCTAAACCCTAAGCCCTAAACCCTCAACCCTACACACTAAACCCTAAACCCTAAACCCTAAACCCTAAACCCTAAACCCTAAACCCTCAACCCTCAACCCTAAACCCTAAACCCTATCCTATGCGGGATCCTTCTGGGCAGCCGGCCCCTGAGGAGCAGGACGCAAAGTGGAGGGGTCGAGTCCGGATCCGTGGTCTGGGCCCTGCGCCGAGGGATTTGGGGATTTAGGGTCTATGGTTTAGGGTTTAGCGTTTAAGTTTAGGGTTTAGGGATATGGTCAGACGCCTGAACATAAATGGGAGTTGATCTAGATGTCTAGTTGATCTAAAGGTCCTTCTGGGAAATCAGCGAGGCCTCTCATCGGTTTGAAAGGTCAAATATAGAATCATTTTGGGAGCAGGCATGTTTAATCCACCACCATATGGGCTAGGGCTGAAGGGGGCTCAGAAAGCTTAGGGCTAGGGCGGCTACCCTAAACCCTAAACCCTAAACCCTAAACCCTAAACCCTAAACCCTAAACCCTTAAGGGCCCCCGGGCTTGACATTCTCTTGTCGGTTCCGGGCTTCAAAGATTTTCATCTGTCGTGGGTTACATATGACTTGCGGCGATGAAAAAAGGAAAGAAAGTACGCTACGACTCTACTACGTACCCTAAACCCAAAAGACCCCGAACCCTAAACCCTAAAGAGACGACGAAGGTGGGCTCAAAGTTGCCCTGCCGCGCCCCGCCTTTAGGCCCCCAAGCCTCCCCCCCAAAGAACCACAACATCATTGCCTTTACTCATACTCCACATTGCCCACTAGAATTATACTCATGTCAAGTTGGAGGGTTCAGGGGTCTAGGGTTTCGGATTTACGGTTTAGGGCTTAGGGTTTAGGGTTTAGGGACCCTACGCTCTGTGGGCCCTGGGGCATTCTGCCCGTCACCGGCCTGGGATCGGCTCCCTCGGGTGGAGCTGTTGAGAAGTGGAGGCTCCTCTTTCTACTATTTGCATAAGAACCCACAACAATGATATAAAACTATCATTCCTTAAAAGGGCAATAAAGGGACTATTTTTCCAATGGTTTGGGGGTTCTTAAGCAAATAGTAGCCCTAAGGCGCTGTGGCATGGGGCTGTCAGCTGTTGTAGGACGGCATCGCAGTGTACATGGAGGCTTACGACAATAAGGGATCCCTAAAATAGATCCCCAAAGCGTAGGATCCCCTTATAATAAGGACCCCAATAAGGTACCCCTAATTTCGGAAACCCCCATATGAAGAGTGCCCGAAAGTGCAGGACTATGACAAGTAGTTGCGCCGAAAAGCAAAAGCAAACGCTTCAGAACAAGCTCCGTGACAAGCTTACGAAAACCCAAACTTCACGACTGTTCGAGACCGCGGCGGAAGCACGATACGAAAGACCGCGAATGGTGAATACAATTCTGCAACGGACGCATGAACCCTTCCAACGCGAGGCCGAAACGTGTGTCCCTACCATGCTTTCCATGCGATAAACGTGAGACGGGAGCGCGGTGAAAGCACGACTTGCGAACCACGGAGTGCGCGCTGGGAACAGGTTTTGGCGAGAAAAACGAGGCCCCAAGCAATGGTCAAGCAACTCAGGAACCGAAAACCCCCCTAGCAATTAAAGCAGATTTTGTTCCTCATAAGGCGGCCCCCCTCCGGATTACAAAAGCGACCACCGGGCGTTTGTGGGGGGGGGGGGGGGATTGGCACGCGTTAAAGGCCTTATGGACCGTGCCAGACCCCAAGAGGTTGTGCGTTCATCTTTAAGCCGGCAGCTCCTTGAGCCCTAAACCCTAAACCCTAAACCCTAAACCCTAAACCCTAAACCCTAAACCCTAAACCCTAAACCCTAAACCCTAAACCCTAAACCCTACAAAACAGAGGTTCAGGGTTTAGGATTTAGGGTTTAGAGTTTAAAGCTTAGGGGGAGTCATGAAACGACTGGCATTGGGTTGACATTGCAAGCGCAATAGTGACTGGCCTAACCGACAGCGAAAGCAAACCAGCAACTCTCCTCGCCCTCCCCCTCATCGTCATCATCTGGGGTGTAGTATCTTCTGGACGGATGCGCCTGCACACCATGCGACATGTGCCGACATTCTCGAGCTACACGTGCGAGTGCTGTCTCCAGACCTAGGAAGCTCCACCCCCCAAAAAAACTGCGGCTTTCTTTTGCAGAGCATGAACCGTAAGCCCGAAACTGAACCCGAAACTTGTCAGATACTGGTAAACCCTGCAGCCTTTGGAATTTCAACTTTACTCCGCACGCGGCGGTCAGACCAGGGTCCGGAAGGCCCAGGGCTTCCAAGTAGGGCTCAAAGGCTTCTAGAGTTTAGGATTTTTAGGTCTTGGGGATTAGGGTTTAAGGAGGGTTTAGTTCTCTTTGATTTTATTTTGGTTTTTGGGGGGGGGGGGCTTAGGGTGCAGGATTTTGGGCCTTTTGGGCTTGCAAGGGTTTCCCATGCCTGCTCGCGCACTGCCTGAGGGGTGTCCGGGTGGTTCTCATTCTCGCCTTGACAAGTCTTGGCTTAGGCCGCAGAGACGCTTTAGACTCAGAGGCCTTAAGCTGTTGGGTCAAGCGAGTTTCGGGCTTAGGGTTTAGGGCTTTAGTAAGAAGCTTCAGGCATAGCGTGCACCTTCAGACAATGGCTAGCATCTCGAAGGCTGCCGCGCAGTGCAGAGATACCACGCAAGTGCAGCTTCCACTGGCGACGGATTGCCAGAAGCTAGGGTCCCCTGAAGTCCTAAAGCTTCCAACACCAACTCCCCAACACGAAGCCCTAAACCTTAAACCCTAAACCCCTAAACCCCTAAACCCCTAAACCCCTAAACCCCTAAACCCCTAATTAAACCCTAAACCCTAAACCCTAAACCCTAAACCCTAAACCCTAAACCCTAAACCCTAAACCCTAAACCCTAAACCCTAAACCCTAACCCTAAACCCTAAACCCTAAACCCTAAACCCTAAACCCTGGGCTTGCCAAAGAATCTCTGAGGCGGCACTTCTGGGATCCTCTGCAGGATTCTCTTTACAAGCCGCCATTGACCTTTTCTTCACATTCATCACATCCTTTTGCTCACCTGTGAAGTTTCCTATTAAAGGACTTCTATCTTCATACGATCAACAATGATATTACCGTAATAATAATATGCTTCGGGAGTCTAACTACTCTCTTCACGGACGCCCAGACTATATTAAGTGAAGAGAGTAAGTGAAATAGACTTATTAATCATAAGTGAACGCGTGAAACAAGTGAGCGCATGAACTCATTTCACGCACGAACGAAACCCGCGAGCTCACTTCTTTTTATTTGCTCGCGAGAATACTAATAAAAAAAACTAATATGAAGAGAACACAAGCCGTTTTCTTTTTTGCGGTAGTGGGAGAGCTCGAAACGCGTATAACCTCATGACGGCTGCAGTAAACCATGGTAAACATTGGGACCCCAAGCCACCTCCACTTCCGAAGCCCCAAGCCCTGATTGTCACTCTTGGCTCGTCTGGGCTTAGCCTCCGCAAACTCCACAACGTCCCGCCTACTGCCCGTGATGCAGGGCAGGGCTCGAGCCTCCAAACCTGAAATTTTCTGAGCCCTATAGTAGTGGTAAGCCGCCAACGACTCAAGCTCAACTGGCTTTTTGCATGTCGCGCGTGGGGTCAGGGACCCAAACCAGGGAGGCATCTGGCTCAGCCAAGGCCTCCACACTAAACGCACAGCCAAACCTACGCCGAACGCCCCTGAGCCTCTGACACTAAGCATGGGCCGGAGTCATGTAGGGTCGCTTCTCTCGAAAGGATGGTCCTTTTGTTAGGTCCTTATCATAAGTTAGGGTACCCAAAAAGGGGCCACACTTTAAGAGAACTGACCATATGGGGGGTTTTCTACGCCTTCGGGCTTGGGGGGTGATTGATCATGCAGCTTGCGTAGCGGTTCCTTGGAAGATTATAATGCCCAGCTATGTCAGCTCAGTCGGCGCCATTGCCGCGCGCCGGCAAGTCTACGAACTGTCAAGAGGGCGTGGGTTCGCCTGAGGCTCATCACTGTTTCATGTGAAGAGACACCTGGGGGCCCTTGATCTCAACTAATGTGTAAGACATCCTATCTGAAGTTCGATCACAAACCCATCTGGTTACAAGCCCCAGCCTCTCTACTCTGCGGTTCACGTGTCATGTTGGGACACCGGAGAGTACCCGCCATAGGCCGTCCTGGGCACGAGACATTGTAAGAGGGGGAGGGATTAGGGTTAGGGTGTAGGCAGGATGGGTGACAGGGCGAGGGCTGGGAATACCCCTCAAGATATGGATGCCCACCTTTGTCGAAAAAGAGGTGTGGGTGTTACCCCGACTTGCGCAAGTTCAAGCTTCGCGACAGCGGCAAACCTTGGAAAAGGAACCTCCACGACAGAACAGCTCGCCGCTCCCTGAATAACATCGATACAAACCCTAAGCCCTAAAAACCCTAAACCCGAAACCGAAACCCTAAACCCTAAACCCTATACCCTAGTGTCAAACGACAGCCAAGCAAAAGACCAGGATGCGAAAGCTGAGCCTAGGGTGTCTCCTCAAATCCTTTTAAACATATTTATTTCTAAAGCTACGATCCTCTTAAACCCAAATAAGGGTTTAGGGTTTAGGGTTTAGGGCGGGTTTAGGGTTTAGGGTTGAGGGTTGAGGGTTGAGGGTTGAGGGTTTAGGGTTTAGGGTTTGTATGACACATCCCCAGGGCCATCATGGCAGCTTCTCCTGGAGCCCCCCTCGCCCCCCCCGAGCCACGGCCGAGCGTCTTCTCCCTGATCTTTTCCACCAAATTCTGGGGCATGATGCCGAACCTCACCGTGCTTGGAAGCCCTTTTGGCTTAGTAGGTAAGGTGTTTGGGGTTTGGGGTTTGGGGTTTAGGGTTTAGGGTTTCGGGTTTAGGGTTTAGGGTTTAGGGTTTAGGGTTCAGGGTTCAGGGTTCAGGGTTCAGGGTTTAGGGTTTAGGGTTTAGGGTTTAGGGTTTAGGGTTTAGGGTTTAGGGTTTAGGGTTTAGGGTTTAGGGTTTAGGGTGTTAGTAAGCTGCTGGGTTATGGGGATTATAAGAGGGTTTCTGGCGGGATACGGAGAAGACTTGCTAAGCCAAAAGAGCTGCCAAGTGGGCCCATGCTTTGATTAAAAGCTCCTGGCGCGGTGATTCAGCGACCCAGAATACCCAAGAAGTTTGCCCAGCTTGGCACCATCCCTAAAGCGCTTGGGGTTTAGGGTTGAAGGTTTAGGGTTTAGGGGTTAGGGGCTAGGGTTTAGGGTTTCGGGGGTGTAAGTAGAGTGCAGGGTCTCGAGCGCAGCCACAACGGGTGTCCTCGGACAAGGCCCCCGGCTAAGCAGCCTAACATGTTGCCCTGCCTCGCAATCTGCTGTGGAAAGACTACCCAGGTCAGTTTGAGCTTGCAGTGACAGAACTGCTTAGGACCGCTCAAGCTCGGGAAATCCACCCCGTCAATGTTGAAATTTGCGGAATCCACCCCCTCTCTTAAATTGAGAAAAGACTCCCGGGCCATGAATTCTGCATTAAAGTGTTCGCGAACTAGTTTTTTCGAAGTTTACACGACCTTTCGTAAACGCATGAAATAGAATATAACAGGGCGGGCGCCCATGGGGGTGCGCATTTCGCCCGACGCCTGAAGACACGTTTTGACGACACGTTCTGTCCAGACCCTGACCCCCTGACGCCACGTACTGACGCCACGTCCCGTGACGCCACGTCCCGTGACGCCACGTCTGCGCGTGACGCCTGACGCCACGTTTTGACGCCACCTGGTTTGACGACACGCGGGGTCCTGACGCCACGTAAGCTTCTGACGCCACGTACTGACGCCACGTACGGTGAAGACTCACCCACGGCCAGCGTTTTTTTGTCGTCGGAATCTGACCCTGGGGGGTCTATATAATGCCACGTGAGCCAGTGACGCCACGTTTTGATGCCCGATCCGGCGCCGCCAGGTGGCTCAGTGACGCCACGTGAGTCTGTGACGCCACGTTCTGACGCCAGGTTCTGCGACCCCACGTGTCTGCGTGACGCCACATAAGGCAGTGACGCCACGTTTCGACGCCACGTCCAGTGACGCCAAGTGGCTCAGCGACGCCACATAAAGCCAGTAACGCCACGTTGCGACGCCACGTTCTGCATAAACACAGTACATCCTAGCGCAATTGTAAAGAATATGGAATATCAAAGCTGAGGCCTATTTAGGAAGTGTTCAGGTTTGACGAGCTTGGCTCCGCGCGCGCGCGCGTGCGGGGGGGGGGGGGGGGATGGGGAGCTGTCTGCAGGAAGTGTCTTCGCGACGCCACGTGTCTTCGCTGGACCTGTCTTCGGGAAGTGTCTTCACTTGCCCATGTGTCTTCGCGACGCCACGGAAGGTGTCTTCGCTAGCCCACGTGTCTTCGCGACGCTGGGGGTCTTCACCGGACCTGGCTGCGGGAAGTATCTTCGCGACACTGTTTGTCTTCACTGCATAGGAGGCGCTGTCCCCACCTATTTGAGTGGTCTTAGCCTCGGCTCTACGTATTCTGGTAAAAGTGTCTTCTGACGCCCACTTTCTTCAGACGGGATTCCCGACGCCACGTGTCTTCGCTGGGAATGTGTCTTCAGACGCCCACGTGTCTTCGCTGTCTGCGCCTGACATGTGTCTGCTGACGCCCACGTGTCTTCGCTGTCTGCTCTGGAGGGCCGGGGTCCTCAACCCCATGTGTCTTCAAAATGTGTCTTCGGTCTTCGGGCGAAATGTGCACCCCCCCAGGCGCCCGCAATGCACATAACACTAGTGCCCGCGACCAAAATAAACCTTGAATTTACTCAGTTGCGTATGTTCTTTTTTGGTCAACAGATTTAATTTAAAGGCCTTGTGGCCTTTAATCATTAAATGCGGGAACAAAAGGAATTTCAAGCGCCCGTGAACGTCATTCTTTATCTCGTCCTTCACACGTTTTAATTGATTGTGCTCGCGCTTGAACTCATTTCTTTCCCTTGGAAGTGTCTGTTATGCTAACAGAAGAAGGCGTAACTGAGAGAGAGAGGGAGAGAAGTAAAATGCCTATGATGGGTGAGCGTAAAAGCCCCCTTGTATTTAGCTACTTGCCGAACTCATGTCATTTACTCCACAAAGAAATCCAGCCCCGTAATTTCTTAATTTTTGGGGGTCCAGCCCTCCCAATCCTGCTAACCCTACGAACCTAAACCCGGAACCCTAAACCCTAAACCCTACTAAGTACTAGCCAAGAGCTAGATGACAAGCACAAGAGGCTGCATCAGCACGTGGAGTGTACCCACCAGCAGCATCGCAGCAGCCGCTGCCAGGTGCACCAGGGACACCAGCGAAGCGAAGGAGGCCTAGGGAGGTGAGGGCTTCGTCTTTCGTGTTTAGGGTTTAGGGTTTCGGGTTTCGGGTTTAGGGTTTGGAGTTTAGGGTTTTGGGTTTTGGGTTTAGGGTTTGTTGGTTCAGTGTTTGGAGTCTTGTGGAGTTCTTGGAACCATCAGGATTAGGGTTTCAGTCTGCAATTCTTCTCCCTGCTTGAATGCCGGCAAGATGCCCAAATCGCACCCTGGAAAATGTAGAACAGGCCTCTGCCTGACGGTCGGCCAACCCAGCTGCAACATGCCGCAGGATCCTCTGCAAGTTTTTACTACCGATGCCTTGGCTCAAGACCTGTCCTGTCTACTCTTGGGGTCGGAAGAATTACTAATAGTATTCCCTTATGGTCAGTCTATAAACCGACTACAAAAATCCCCAAAACTCCCAAAGCCCTATTCTAATTATTCAGGCCCTACATTCTCCACAATCGGCTGATGCCCTATGTTGCCCAGTCTTGCCTCCAGCTCGAGTCATGAACTTCGCCTCATCTATGATGAGGTCCTGCAGCACGCGAGGGGTTGAAGTATCTCAGAACAAGAGCCTGTAGATTCCTCAACGAGTTTAGGGTTTAGGGTTTCGGGATCAGGGTTTAAGGTATAGGGTTTAGGGGGCCAGGGGGGGCGGGGGGGTACATGACAAGGAAGATTAAGCGGATCGGGGTTTGGGACCCCGGCTCAACCGCACAGCGCTCCTGGTAGTGGGTAACCCCTGGAACCATGGCAACCCAGTCTGCTGGCATCTCGAAGAGCATGGTCGTCACAGCGAAAATGCCCTGAAAGCCCGAGATCACCTTCGCTGAAGGTCGCAGAGAAACATCTGCCCATGAAGATGCGTGCGATCCTGCATCCCCCTAACTCGCAACTCCGACACTGCATGGTGTGATGACTCCGGGGTTGGGGTTGAACTTGGAACCCTAAACCCTAAGCCCTAAACCCTAAACCCTAAACCCTAAACCCTAAACCCTAAACCCTAAACCCTGAACCCTGAACCCTGAACCCACAAGTCCAGTCAAACGGTGTCAGACTGGCGGCCCATCTTGCCGGCCCCGTGAGGACACCTCGTCAAAGAAAGGGCTTCGGGCTTGGAGTGTAGGGCTGGAGGGTTTGGGACATGGGGTCCTGGTGGTTGGGGGCTGCTATGTCAGGATCTGCAGATCTCTGCTCGCACGGTCTGAATCTTCCTGCAGCTCTCCGCCTGCTTCTTATCCTCTAGGATGGCCCTTAAAACCCTCTGAAAAATGATCCTAACTATGACCCTCTTGAACCCAATAAGGGAAAATGTAACATACCCTTAATTGCCTACTTAGCTCTTAACCCCTCCGGCCCCAAGAACCAAGACCCTGGCTCTCCACGCTCATCAGCTCCAGGACGCACACTGCCAAGGATCTCAGTCCAGGAGACATCAACTGCAGTGGATATGGGTTGGCACGCCCCCCGTTGTAGTAACAGTCCTGATTAGGGATTCTAGTAGCCCCTGCTATCATCCCTTTCAAGGACTGTTACCCTAAACCATAAACCCTAAACCCTAAACCCTAAACCTAAACCCTAAACTCCATTAAAGACGGTTAGTATAAGGGGGAACATCCCAAGATGTGGCTGGCAAGTGCGTGTTTTGAGGAGCTTGGCACACCAACTTCCTGAAGGATCTGCTGCTGCCCTCGTGCATCCGGGCCCCCGAGTCGGAATCAGACAGAGCAGGGTTCAGGGTTTAGGGTTTCGGGCTTAGGGTTTCGGGTTTTGGGCTTAGGGCTTAGGGCTTAGGGTTTTGGGTTTAGGGCTTAGGGCTTAGGGTTTAGGGTTTAGGGTTTAGGGTTTAGGGTTTAGGGTTTTGGGTTTTGGGGCGTAGATGCTGTGAAGGTCAGGATGCAGCAGAGGCCCGAATGCCTCGTCAGGTGCGAAGAGCAGCTCTGGCCCGATTGTGCTTATTCTTTTCTCCCACCCCACGCCGTTCGAGGCGGCAAAACCACCCAAACCTATTCCTTTTAGGGTTTAGGCTCAAACTCATGACAATCGTTTACTTTCAAAAAAAACCTTTCCGTCACCGATGGCCACTTTCAGCCAAGAAAAGGCTTGAGGCCGGCTGGTGGTGGGGAGGGTCGGGCCAAGGTCAGGGGACCAGGAAACCAAGGCGGGATAGGGGACCAGTACTGGACGTGCTCCGGTACTGGGCCTATCGTGGGTGCTACCGACCTCCGAGCTGTTGGGGGCGGGCGTCGAGGGGCTCAGGCACCGCCCTCCAACTGTAGGGGGGCGGCCTAGGCCTTGAGTTTAGGGTTTAGGGTTTAGGGTTTAGGCCCTTCCAAAGCCACCGATGAGTCTTCAATCCCGTTTCACTCGGCCTCTTGGGCTCAAGATCTTCCTAGGTGCAGGTTTGAGGAGAGAGATGCATTTCCCGTTCCAGGGTGTACCTCATGATCTGTCGTATGACATGAGAAGCATGCTCCTGCTAGGGTAATATAGGGGCCTAAATAATTGGAATAGGGTTTCGGGGGGGGGGGGGGGGGGGGGGGTTCATAGTATAATCAGAAAAGGGATTTTAAGACAATAGTATTAGAGTAATTATTCTGACTGCAAAAGAAGAGGAGCTGAGATGGGCTGAGGGTTGAGGGTTGAGGGTTGAGGGTTTAGGGTTTAGGGTTTAGGGTTTAGGGTTTAGGGTTTAGGGTTTAGGGTTTAGGGTTTAGGGTTTAGGGTTTAGGGTTTAGGGTTTAGGGTTTAGGGTTTGACACCCGACTGCAGCGCGGTTGCGTGGCAGCCGCCGCAAAGGCCAGGAGGCGGAGTCCGGCTGGGCCCTGCGCAATCTGATCCTGGTTTAGGGTTTAGGGTTTAGGGTTTAGGGTTTAGGGTTTAGGGTTTAGGGTTTAGGGTTTAGGGTTCAGGGTTTAGGGTGAGCTTGGCGTGGCTGAGGAGGGAGCTGGGCGCGCTTCGCACGTGCTTCGTTCGGCTGTTGAGAACCGCTTGGGGGGGGCATCTGCGGCTTTGTTGCTACTGGTCGTTTTTTTTTTGGGGGGGGCGTGGGGGGGGGGGGGGGGGGGGGGGGGGGGGGCTGCGTAAGCTCACTCCGAGCCAAGAAAATGGCAGGCCTTGGGATGCTTGCAAGCAGGCAAGTTTGCAAAGCCTTGGGAAGCTTGGGTAGCTTGTGAACTTCAAGCCAGTCAGCATGAGGATGAGGCATGCTACAGCAGAACGTGTTCGCTCGCTCCTGACGCAACTGCACGGAAACCTCCTGGAAGCCCTCAACTAGGATCCCTCCACCGGAAGCCCTCAACTAGACATCACGGGCCAAGGCTCCGCGAACATCTGCCCGGCTTGGTTGAAGGCCTGGCTTCTGAATCTTTGAAGCACAGGAAAAAGAAAAGCAGGGTTCAGGGTCTGGGACTCAATGTAAGCGTTTTGGTTCCAAATCATACTCAGCAGGACCTTGGGGTCAGGACAAGGACTGCAACCACCTAACCATAGCTAAGGGACTTATAACTCCAAGTTAGGATCCCATAACTCAACATTAAGGCTCCTATAACTCTACTTATAACAGGGGGGGGTTTATGAGGATGCGAGACCCGGACCAAGGTCTTGAGCTTCAAGCTAAACTTATCTGATCCCTACACTGGTAAGGGTTTCGGGTTCCGGGTTTCGGGTTTCGGGTTTAGGGTTGAGGGTTTAGGGTTTAGGGCTTAGGGCTTAGGATTTGGGTTTAGGGTTTAGAGTTTATAGGGTTTAGAGTTTATAGGGTTTAGGGATTAGGGTGATCACGCCTGAGCATGGGAGCCTGGCCTGCCCAGCTGTGGCGGCAGCTTGTCGGGCGATCTCCTGGCCCAAAGAAGGGATCAGGCCATGCAAGTGCTGGCTTTTCGTGCCGGCTCTGCTTCGCCTAGGATGGCCCTTGAAAACCTGAAACCCTCGGAAAAATAGACCTGAACATGATCCTCTTAAACCCCACGAGGGAAATATGAACTACCCTGTAAGTTAACCCCAACAAGGGAACACATAAAGTACCCCAAAATACCTCCCCTGTAGGGGTAACCCTAAACCCTAAACCCTAAACCCTAAACCCTAAGGGCCTCCCCTGCAGGCTTCTTCCCGCATGCACTTCGGCCTTGGCCCGCGCCTGCGCCTGTGGATCCTGGGCCCAGGCTGTCACCTCGGCCACGCTCGGATCTTCATGGTACTTATTCACCAATTATAACTGTACTTATAACAGTATTGATAACAGTACTTATAACTGTACTTATAACAGTACTTTTAACAGTACTTATAACTGTACCTATAACTGTACTTATAGCCATAATGACTGTACTTATAACTGTACTTATAACTGTACTTATGGCTGTACTTGCAACCATATTGGGGCACTTAAGGGGCTTGTAAGTGGGTTAGAAGGAAAGTTGCACCTGGTTCAGAAGTACCATGAACCTCCAAGTACGGCACTCGTGCCGAACCCAACTTGCCACACGGAAGGTGCCCTAACTTTTTCATGTGGACCTTGGATGACCCCCCTTATACCAACGGTCCTTAATGGGGATTATAATAGGGGTGTTACTATCATCCCTCTGAAGGACTGTTGGTTTAAGGGGGAACATCCCAATGCGGATCCTACATATTATATATGTTGGGTACCTAAGAAGGGACCATGATTCAGGAGAACTGCCCACATGTCCGTGATGGAGTGGCGGCCCAGCAGCGATCTTGCATTTTGCGATATGATTAGGAAGTTGTATGAAACCCTGAAGAAGGAGCTACTTTCCAAGATTCTAGATTCTCTCAGGGGTTTGAGCTGCATCTCTAATGCCAAAAAGCTTCAAGACTTCAACTAGAGCAACCTCTTTACGGCCAAGCCAAGGGGAAACCCTGAGTGCCCGCCTGAGTGCGGACCACGCTGAAAATCTCTTCGCCGCTCTCCTTTGCCAGATGGTCAGCATTCGTTCCGCATACGAGTCTTGTGGAGGGAAGATGTACGGGCCCCCAAGCCCTAAACCCTAAAGGCCTAAAGTCCTAGGAGCCCTGAAACATCCTGAAACCCCAAGACCCACAGCCCTATGTCACCCCCCAAACCCAGGCGCACAGCTGAGCGGCTTGACAACTACCCCCCACCCAGGTGTGGCTCAGAATTTTTCGGCTCTAGGACCGTATCAGCTTCCAGCCGGCCTTGGCAGCTGTGAGCAAGGCGCTTTGCACCCCTGGGTCATTGAGCGCCTGGCTTTCGGGTTCGGGCAGTGGGGCTTTCGGGCAGGCGAAGTTCCTGACATTCCGAGGATGCTGGAATCAAGAGAGGAGGCAGGAAGCAGTCGCCTCATGCTGGCATAGGAGGCTGGGAGTCAGATGTGCTTTCAGCCCTAAACCCTAAACCCTAAACCCTAAACCCTAAACCCTAAACCCTAAGCCCTGCACCCTAAACCCTAAGCATATTCTCCCTGGCAGGCCTTCTCGCCCGCCACTCGCAGGGATGCTTGCACCTGCGAGCCCCCCCAAACCCTGAATCCTCCGCTTCAGAAGCACCCAGCATAGGCAACGCGAGTGATTCCAGAGGATCTACCAGCACTACAAGCAAGGGAAAGAGGTGCCACGCACAGAGCTGTGGGGGGTCTTCTGAAACAGCGTGAGCTGGACCGAGCCGAGCTGTGCTAGAGGGCTTCTCAAGACCAGCTCTGCACCTTCGGATGCTTCAGCAGCTCTTCTTGCAGGAGCGCCATGGCCGGGGCTTCGGGGCAAGCTGTACACCGGGCAGGGCGCTGTCATAGGCCAAGGTGTGCTGAAGGCTTTCCCTTTGAAGACTTGCCGCGGCTCTGCGAATGTGCGCGTGATCCGCGCAAGGCAAGAAGACGCAGGAGACGACTACTCGGTTCGGGGGTTCTTGACACTCGGCACTTGAGGGAGATGAAGATCCAGCTTCTGAGGGCTCCGTTTGTCGGATGGATGGCATCTGTATTACATTACCCTCAAAGAGCTGATTGGGCCAGATTGCGTGCACAATGGCGGCCTTCTTCCGTCTGCCAGTCGCAGAACCACAGTTGCAGATCCGCAGATCCCGTTCGATGAGAGGGCTGAGTTGTCCCACGAATGAATACTAAAACACAAAGAACCCTGCCAGTCCATGGATCAAACCCTCAAGCCACCAACAAGCAGCCCCAGCTTCCAGTGCTACTTTCCGGGCAACGGGGTAGGAGTTGCGAGTTTAGGGTTAGGGCTTAGGGCTTGGGATTGCCTTCGCCCAAGCAACATCTTCTGGGACGCGGGCGACCACGGGGAGGCGGGCGGCCAGTTATCGCAGCCCGCCTGGCCGCCTGACCCATGCGTGGACTGATTTCGAGCTCGGACATTCTGGGGGTCTAGGGTTTAGGGTTTAGGGTTTAGGGTTTTGGGTTTTGGGTTTAGGTTTCAGGATTTATGGTTTAGGGCTCATGCCATATCAACGTTTGCACTGGTGGCGGTAAAGAAGGAGAGGTGAGTCGACAGTGAGGTAGCAGCACAAGCTTGACCGACTACTGGAGCACTATCTCATCATGCCCCAGAATGGTATCTCAAATTGCCCGAGCAAAGGGACGTGAACCCTAGCTGCCCCCTCGACCCGAGCCTCCTACCCATACTGAAGACCAAGCGGGATGCCCCTACCTTGCCTCGTGGGCTTGCTGTTACAAGGGATCCGATGAAAAGAGTTACGGTCAAAAAGGGACCCTAAGTTAGAACAACCCCCCGAAGCATCTTTTTTTGGCTCAATGCCAGAAGGGCCTCCACGTCCTCCTTGCGATTGCGATCGCGCATGGAGCAACATTGGCGCCCTCCAGCCTCATCGGTTTAAGGTTTAGGGTTTAGGGTTTAGGGTTTAGGGTTTAGGGTTTAGGGTTTAGGGTTTAGGGTTTAGGGTTTAGGGTTTAGGGTTTAGGGTTTCTGCACTCCGCGCTGCAGAACTACAGAGCTGGGCCGGAATCCTTCTTCATTCGGTCGTGAAGCTGGGGCCCCGGCGACAAAGCTCCACAAGTAGGAGCCAAAATGTCCCAAGGTCTGCCAGACAGCGCACAGAGCTGTTGGAACTTGACCATGCCCAAAACCTTAAAACCCTACAACCCCAAACCCTAAACCCCAAACCCTACACCCTACAACCCTCAACCCCAAAGCCCAAACCCCAAACCCTAAACCCTAAACCCTAAACCTTAAACCCTAAACCCTAAAACCATGGCAATGCCTCCTGCAGCTGCACGCCGTAGTCCTCGGGCTCCAGCCTAAGCGCGCATGGCTGGAGATTACGCGGCCAAGCCTCCAAAATTGGGGCTTAGGGTTTCGGGTTTTGGGTTTAGGGTTTAGGGTCTAGGGTCTAGGGTCTAGGGTGTAGGGTGTAGGGTGTAGGGTGTAGGGTTTAGGGTTTAGGGTTTAGGGTTTAGGGTTTAGGGTTTAGGGTTTAGGGTTTAGGGTTTGGGGTTTGGGGTTTAGGGTTCAGGGTTTAGGGTTTAGGCTTTAGGCTTTAGGGTTTAGGGTTTGAGGGCAAGGAGACTAATTGAATTTTAAGAAGCTTGAAAGCTGAGCGTGTGAAGTCTACATACTATATGGCTGCTTTTCACGCAGATTGGCCGCGATGTTGGTTTCGTTTCGCTTTGCGAGTATCGCTGTCGCATCTCCTGCTGTTTCCGTGAAAAAATATGACGAGCTCGAGCCAACCCAAACCTGGCCTGTGTTGTCCTTACCTCTTCTCCCTTAATCATATGTTTGCCTTCGCTTGTTCCTCTCAAGTTTGAAGCAAGACCCAACCGAACCAAGCAAGGCATGCGTGCAACTTAGTATGCCCAACAAGGGGGGCCAAAGTTTAGAGAGAACTGACATGGTCTGCGGTCACTAAGAGCCTTACGCTGAATAATCCATATAATGCTTAACATATCCCCAAAAGTCGGTGTCGTCAGGCGGGTTTTTTCTCAGGTCTTGTGGCCGGAAATCTGGGTTCTCTCTGCGGTCTTGTGGCCGGAAATCTGGGTTCTGTCTGCGGTCTTGTGGCCGGAAATCTGGGTTCTGTCTAAGTAGAATCTTGGATCTACTCATCTGAAATCTGGGATTTGTCTGCGGTTTATTACATTAAAAACTTGGTTCAGATCGCTGAAAACCAGGATCCGCCCTGCAAGTTTCGGGGCTTGACCTTGTCATGAATCCTGAGAAATCTTGGACTTGCTCCTAGAAATATTGGGCTTACTCAAGCCTCGTGAAGATTGTTATCGAAACTGTTTCCTGTTTTGTTCTCGATGGAGGCCAGTCTGGCGGACAAAACTGCTTGACTTAACGATGCTACTCGCATCTGACTCTCCCTCCAGCCCCTCCAGCCCCCTGCAGCCCCCTGCAGCCCCCTCCAGCCTCCAGCTCCAGCCCCAACCCCTCCAGCCCCCCCCTGCAGCCCTTCCAGCCCCTCCACTCCAGCCCCTCCACCCCTCCCCTCCAGCCCCTCCAGCCCCTCCAGCCCCTCAGCCCCCTCCAGCCCCTCCACCCCCCACCCGCCCACCCCCCCCCCCCCCCCACTCCCGCCCCACCCCCCACCCACCCCCCGCCCCCCCAACCCCCCCCACCGCCCCCACGCGGGTTGTCAGTACCGGTCAGCACCCGTCGGTACCCGTCGGTACCCGGTCGGTACCCGGTCGGTACCTGGTTGGTACCCGGTCGGGAGCTTAAAAACAGGCCAAAAACAGGCAATTTGAGGTCAGTTACCCACCGGTTACCGACCAGGAACCAACCGGGTCCTGGTGAGGGGGTTGGGGGGTGGGGGGTGGGGGGGGGGGGGGGGGGGGGGGGGGGGGGGGGGGCGGGGGGGGGGGGCGGGGGGGCGGGGGGGGGGGCGGGGGGGGGGGGGGGGGGGCGGGGGGGGGGGGGCGGGGGGGGGGGGCGAGGGGGGGCGGGGGGGGGGGGGGGCGTTGCGGGCGGCGGGGGTGCCCCCAAAAAAAGGGGTCTGCGGTGGCAGGAACCGTGCGATGGGGGGGTTGGGTTTGGGGGGGGGGGGGGGGGGCAAGGGGCCCATGTTTTCGTGTCAGAAACTAGTCGAGTTTTTTTTTTTTTTTTCGTGGTGTTTGGTTGCCACTTACAACTTACAACCTAGGCATGGGCGCGCGCGCCAGGATCTTTCACGAAGAGACACCGCCTGTATATGTTTCGGAAAAGTTGAGGAGGGTGTTTTCAATCCTACGGCGCATGGATCTTGCTTCAGGGGCACTGCGTTCTTCCATGATTTTTTTCAACTCCGATGAAAACTTCTACCCGTGATCGACGCTTCATGGACGTGTCCAGAAGTTTTTGTCGCTCTAGAAGGAGCTAGGCTACACCTGGTTGCACAATAGCGCGACCCACTATTTCTTGTATATGACACTGACTTGAGGCCATGTTTCTTACGACCAATCCCGACTTACGATGCCTCAAGACCAAACATGACCCTCCCCAGGCCCCAACCCAGATGTGTTTTTTCTACTAGGTTTGCTTCGCAAAACGCAAGCCGAGACCATATTTTTAAAGACCAATCCCGACTTCGGACGCCTCAAGACCAAACATGACCCTCCCCAGGCCCCAACCCAGATGTGTTTTTCTACTAGGTTTGCTTCGTAAACGCAAGCCGAGACCATATTTTTAAAGACCAATCCCGACTTCGGACGCCTCAAGACCAAACATGACCCTTCCCAGACCCCAACCCATATATGATTTTCCATGAAAACCCAAAAGATATGTTAAGCATTATATGGATTATTCAAGCCTTACGTCTCATGGCTTAGTGCGACGCTGGCTCGAAATGACGTGACCTTCTACGGTCCCTGCGCTAGCCCAGAAGTCCACGACAGCCCCACGCACCGAAGTCCAAATCCCAAAACACCAGCGGCAAACCCGAGACCCCACAAGGCGAAGCTCCTCGACCCAAATGCTGCAATCCTGCAAAGACCGCTTGAGCTGGACTTTTACCTGCCCCCCCGTGTGAACGTTGAAGCAACATCCTTCCACTGCCAGGGTTTGAGGAGTCTTGACCTGAGCCGACAGCATCTCATCTCTAGGCACGGCGTACGGAGCGGGTCGGTACTCCTGGGCTCGAAGGGGTTCCTTGCCAACAAGACTCCAGCAATCAAGGCAGCACCTGGACATCTCACAGCACCCAATGACCCCCAGCCTTCCAAAACGCGTTACGTCCTTTGGCTTGTACAAGGGTTTCGCGCATGAAGGGGGGCTCCTTGGGTGTGTACTCATCCTCGTCGAGCTGCCGCCGGTAGCCTCCCCAGGCAGCACCAGGGTTTTCAAGGCAGCTGCATTGGGTGGTAGCAAAAGACCAGAGAGACCCCATCGCATCCTGCGCCGCCGCCCTTCATAGTGCCTCAGGCGGGGCTTGCGGGGATCGAAGGGCTTCGGGCTCCGTGTGTACCGGGGGAAGGGTACAGGGCAAGAACGGCATCCGCTGGGGCTGCCGCTGTAACCGTACCGGTCCGAATACACAAACTCGGCATCAGCGGCGCCTCTGGACCTCCGACAACCGTCAGGTGGGCTACCCTGCGTTGAACTACCCATAAACCCTTGGCCCCAACCCTAAGGTTTCTACCCAAAAAAACCTTCAAGTACTGATGTGGACAATCAGAATAAGCTCAACTTTGCCAAGGAGCGCGTGAAGTGGCCCTGGCTGTGTAATGCCTCGCGCGGCCACGTCTGCACTTGAGTTTAGGGGGATCAGGCGCAGTCGCGGCCTCCATAGTCCAAGTGGGAAGCCTTGCGGTCTCCAGGGCCTCCAGAGATTGCACGTTTGCAGCTACCATTTTTGCAATGAAGGCACTGCTGCGGACATCTAGGCAACGGGCCTGATCCCTGGACCCACAAAGCAACCCTACGGGGTTGAGACGCAGAAGGAAACGCTGGAGCTGAAACAAGCGTCTCAAGAATAGGAGGGCTTGGTCATGAACTGCCCCTTCTCGAAAGTCGAACCCACTACCAGCATCACCAGAACCCACATTAGACTGAGACGGGCACGGCATTCACGAAGCTCACGGTCGTCCCACGACTTTCTCAGAGAAACGCAACCATGACACTGCTTTTCCTCTCATGTGACAAGCCCAGCTTGGCGCCCTTTGCATGCCCTTTGCTGTAACCGGTCTTGCTGCACGCTTTAGATCAGGAAATCCGTCCTTTCCGTCCATGCTGGACGGATGCTGACTGCCTTCTTCGGCTACAGCTTGCCCAAGTGAGCTACCGATCTCGCCCTGGCTTCTGATGGAAGCAAGCGCAGCCGGCTGAATATACTTCTACGACAGAAGAACCCAGACCCCGGGGGGAGGATCCAAAAAGTAGAACCCCGAAATAGTACCCTATACTGGTGTACGGACATTGAAGCTTCAGGCGTTCTGTGCCCCTGTCGGCTTTGAGGGTTTAGGGTTTAGGGTGTCAGGCCAGTTCCTTGACCGCGCAGCGACAAGACGACACCAACCAGGCCCTGAAAGGGGATGCCAAAACAGGTTCGCGGTCGGCTGCCCCGAACCCAGCTCACCCCCCACACCAGCGATTTGGCATCAAGGCGGCCGTACCCGCCAGACCCGCAGCCTGTTTAGTCTTGTGGGATTTTGTAGGCAAATCGTGCTGCCGGTAATGAACGAATCAGACGCTTTCGCACGGGAAGCTTTCGAAACTTGGGCTTGAGGGAAACAGTAGCACCCCTGACCCCTGGCCTTCTCGAACTCCGAGAGGATCTGCAAACAGCACGTCGCTGCTCACGCTCATGAGGTCTCCCCGTTGCTCCCGGCCTTTTAGGTTCGCACTAGGCTGTGAACGCAGCCCGCAGCTCAGCTCAGCCGGAAGGATTGTGAGCTCTAAGGGCGCGATGTGTATTACAACGCAAGTAACACAAGCATTACGTCAGACTCGTGTCCGGGCTTGGGATGCTCTTCTGCCAGTGCGTGCTTCACAGCTTCACGAGTTTGGCGGCTGCACGTCTGGGCTGCAGGCTCGTGAAGTCATCTCGGAGGTATGCCATGACGGGGTCACGGCTTCAGTGAGTGCAGAGCGGAGCCCTCCGTGTCAAGCTGAGGATGTGCTGTGAATGCCTTGGGGCGGGTCAGAATGCCTTGGGAGACTTTGGTAGCCCAAGGTCGTCGCATGGCGATGCCTTCGAACCCTAAACCCTAAACCCCCTAAACCCTAAACCCTAAACCCTAAACCCTAAACCCTATACCCTATACCCTAAACCCTAAACCCTAAACCCTAAAGCGCACCTGGGTTATCTCGGTTCACGTGAGCTAGGGGCTGATGAGGGGCATGGTCGTCAGCAGCCAGGTGCCCACGTCGCTATCGGACGAGCTTCTGGCAGTCTCTGGGCCGATGCCAGCGAAAAAACCTGAACTTTCCATGGGCCGTAACACACACACACACACACACCAGCACAAGAGTTTAGTAATTTACACAAATCCGGTAATGTTAACTTTAAAGCGAAGAGTCCTCACCCCACCTCTGCCCTAACAAATCAACTCTAATCGTAACCTCATCAGCCCTCAACCTCGTCCCAAGAAAAACCGATCAAACCCTGCAGCAGCCATAACAATCTCTGGGAACATTTGCAATGGACTCGTGGCATCTGTGGTTCTCAGCCAAAAACCTGCCTACTTTTTAGGGCTTCGCGGGGAGGTTCGAGATGTCGAGTCTACCTTGCGAGTTCAAGGAGCTTTGGGTGCTTAGGGTTTAGAGGTTCGGGTTCAGGGTTTAGCCCCCCCCCCCGCCCCACACACACTTTGACGCGCGGTGTCGCTGGGAGACTCCCATATTGGGACCCGCCATCGAGAGAATCTGCGAGGCATGTACAGTCCTGCCCATTCAGGGGGCATACGGAGGGACCCTTAATCAAATCCTATTCCCCTAAATAACCCCTTTGAAACCCTCACACCGTCCCTATACGCATAAATCGCCCCTAAATAACCCCCCAAAGAGCCCCTCAGGGCCCGAGTAAGGGTCCCTCCTTTAGTCCCTTTGAGCCCGGGAGTCTCGCAACTCCTGGCAGACAAGAAGCCCGAAGCCTTTCCCCGATACCACCTATCTTCAACCCCGAACCCGAAGGTGTGAAGCCCTCAAGAATCTAAAGCAACACACAAGCCCTAAACCCCCAAGCCTTCAACCTCCAAAATCCTGAGACCTAAATACCCCCTAACCCCTACTCACAGGAGCTCCATAGGATCACGTGGACGTTGGTACCTGAGGAGACGGTTTGGGGTTTAGGGGGCTTAGTGTTAGGCTTGTTTGGGTTTTAGGGCTTAGCCTTTGGGGCAGTCAGGGCTTTAGGGATCTGTAGGGTTTTAGGGTCTTGGGGGTATGGTTTCAGGGTCTGCCGGTGTTGGGCTCTTCGGGGTTTTAGGGCTCCTCGGGTTTTAGGGCCATGCGCACAAATTGCCGAACCGCACCGACATGTCAAACGACCGCCCATCCGCTCATACATAGATATTGGTGAGTTAATATGCGCTGCTTTCGGGGACACTAGACTAGAACCACTAGAAATCAACTTTGCATTAAAACAAAACAAATGGAGCCCCCAAGCCCTGAATCCTGAGTTGTGCTTCAAGGCCGCGAGAAGTGCTTAAGAATCGTGTCCCTTTGTTACAAGCGGGGGAACTATAGATCCCAGAGTAGATGACAATCTCACACCTTGGGGCTTGGGGGTCTGGGTTTTGGGGACCCGCAGTCTTTTCGAATCACGTGCCCGACGCGGTTTGAATGCTGCGGTGAAAGCCAACTCATCTGAGTGAGCTGGGGGGTTGCATACTCAATTTGCCCCGGCATATGTCCCGGGTCAAGCGTTTCAGGTTTGCGCAGCCGGCTATTGCTCCTTTCTCCACTGTATGTCATAAGGGTACAGTCTTGTGGCAGATTTGGGGTTGGACCTGCTTCAGCATACCTATCGAGGATATGTGCTCAGCTGCTCAGGACACCCGCCGACTCGTTCTATGTTATCTGCTCATGGCTGCGCCAATCTTCGGTCATAGAGCCTACAAGTATGGCCGTTCGCTCTTCGCACAACACTGATCCTGAGGCCTGCAGTTAGAGGCAGGCTCCTCAGCATTGCCGTCTTCCTTTTGCCCAAGTTTGGGACTGTTGCAAGATATTTTGCTCCAACGACCCCGATAGCCCGACTCAAGCCCAACTGTCTACGTCGCACCTGCTGCCAGCAGTACACTCTTGGCAAAATACACCGAACGGCTAAATCCTTAAACTCAACCACCGACCTGTACCCTGCACAGGAAGCCGCAGGGAAACCTCTTAACTACTAGAACTACCCTTAAACCCTAAGCCCTACACCCTACACCCCACACCCTGAACCCTAAACCCTAAACCCTTAAGAACTCGTTTCAAACTACGATCGCTCCGTTGGGAAACTGGAAGCCGTGAAAGCTCCGCTCAGGTCGGCAAGGCCCAGAGCCTACGCCAATCCTCTGCCTTGGAGAAGCGGTAGCGTTTAGGGTTTAGGGTTTAGGGTTGAGGGTTGAGGGTTGAGGGTTGAGGGTTGAGGGTTGAGGGTTGAGGGTTGAGGGTTGAGGGTTGAGGGTTTCGGGTTTCGGGTTTCGGGTTTCGGGTTTAGGGTTTAGGGTTTAGGGTTTAGGGTATAGGGTTTAGGGTGTAGGGTGGAGGGTCTAGGGTATAGGGTTTAGGGTTTTGGGTTTTGGGTTTAGGGCTTAGGGTTTAGGGTTTAGGGTAGCCTTAAATTCGAAACCCAAAAGCCCTATACCCGAAACGCACACGCGCTGCCATCAAGATTTCTCACTCTTTGCCAGACCATGTCAAACCTGGCCCTGTGCATGTGGAAATTGAGAAGGCTTTGCAGTCAAAGTGTTGGCCGCCGGCCCGTGCAGCATTTCCGAACGACGCACGACGTAGAATACGCTTGGCACTTGAAACGTCATGCTTGGCTTGGACCCACACGCGAAAACATTGGACAAATTGTGACATGATGCCTCAAACCTAGCAGGGGCGTGGAGTCGAACTCCTGAAGCCGCGAAACCCTACAGCCCTCCACCCGGATGCCAGCCGGCACCTGAAGGGAAAGCGTACTCGAAATTTCACCTCCAAGAACATCCCGGCCCCCTACAAATGGATTCGAGGCTAACCCCAGACCCCAAGCAGATCCCAAGCCCTCGAGGCCCGGCCCAAGATACCATCACTGTAGTTGAGGGTTTAGGGTTTAGGGTTTAGGGTTTAGGGTTTAGGGTTTAGGGTTTAGGGTTTAGGGTTTAGGGTTTAGGGTTTAGGGTTTAGGGTTTTTGGGGGGTGAGGACTTGACCTCAATCTTCAAGAATACCCTTTGCCCCCGGAGCATGAACCCTCCTCATCCCACCCTGCATGTACGGCGTCCATTCACATCTAACGCCTTGAAGTCTAAACCGAGAGTCTCTGAGCTTCGAGGAAGCTGGTCAGGCCGCCTCAGACAAGTTTAGGATGTTCAGGTTCCGTGTTGGCACGAAAGGGGGAATTGAGGGCTTAGGGAACAAGGACTCCTGCATGGGAGTTGGTAGGTTTGGGGCTTGGTGTTTAAAGGGTTCAACTCGAAAACCCTCAACCCTGAAGCCCACCAAAGCCCCACAACCCCCAAAGACTCTAAGACCCCTAAACCCCTAAGCCCTATCCAACCAGCCCCGAAAACCCCTGAACGCCCCTGAACACCCCCGAAACCCTTAAACTTTTAAACCCCCTCCTGAACCCCTAAACTCCTAAACTCCCTCCTTAACCCCTACCCCTACTAAACCCCTACCAAACCCCTACTAAACCCCTACTGAACCCCTAAACCCCTAAACGCCTAACACGAAACCCTAAACCGAACACCCCTACACAAACTCTTCAACCTCTAAGCCCTAAAACCCCAAAACCCCTAAGCCCTAAAACCCCAAAACCCCTAAGCCCTAATTAAACCCTAAAAACCCTAAACCGCAAAAACCACTAAACCCCTTTATAATCCCCCGAACCCCTAAAACCCTAAACCCTAAACCTTAAACCCTAAACCCTAAACCCTAAACCCTAAAAGCCCCCTAAAACCCCGACACTCCGCTTCGGTTGCAGTTCCAAGGAGCCCATCGGAGCGCTGCCGCCGCCGGTGACGAAGTCCTGACGCGTCGGCTTTCGGGCGGCTTAGGGAGGGTTTAGGGGTGTAGAGGTTTCGGGGTTTAGAGTTTCGGGTTTTAGGGGTTTAGAGGTTTCGGGGTTTAGGGTTTCGGGTTTAGGGTTTAGAGCTTTAAGGGTTTAGGGGTTTTAGGGTTTCAGGGTTCAGGGTTTGGGGTTTTGGGGTTCAGAGGTGTCGGGGTTTAGGGTTTAGGGATTTAGGCTTTGTGGGTTTTGGAGTTTCAGGGTTCTAGGGTTCATAGGGTTTAGTGCTTCAGGGTTCATAAGGTTTAGACCTTCAGGGTTTAAAGGGCCTGCCCAGTTCTTTTGCGTACAACCGGCAACCCAGAATCATGAGCATCATGAGCATCATGGGCGCCTGGCTTCTTCCACAATACCTCTTCCGAGTCTTCGGCGACAACTGCTCGAGAAAGGGTTAGCGCCCTTTTTCCCGTTGAATTCGACCCAGATGAGCCTTAAAAATGGGTCCCACTTGGCACAAAATTGCGGTTCCCACCCTCAATCTCCTGACAACTCTGCCTCAAGTTCAAAGTAGAGGGCTTCATTAACATGTGTGTGTGCTTTGTTTTTGATGGCTGTTTTTTCGGGGCATTTTTTGGGTAGAGTGACGCGTAGTAGGGCCTAGTGTTCTTTCCGACTATTTGCGGTTAGTTCTCTTAACTACGGTCCCTTTTTGGGGATCACTTCAAGCTCCGACGACGCTTGCTGCAATCTGAGGAACTTGGTTTAGGGTTAGGTATGTAGGGTTGAGTAAACCCTAAGCCCCAAACCCGAAACAAAAAACCCTAAGCACGTAGTTATCAAGTATTTAGGGTTTGCTGCTTGGGGTTGAAAATTCAGGGGCGCCAAATTGGGCTCTTGCAGCGGCTGGGCCTGGCCGTAGTTGGCCGGACGCGGCAGCCACAAGGGCACCGGAACAAGGCCGCCGTAGCTGCTGATCGGGCTTCGAGACCTGGGTTCGTAGATCTTACAAAAGGTCCCACGATTTATGCATCTTCAACACCCGGGCAATAAGCCCAGACCATGAACTGCCTGAACCTTCAGAAACCCCCCCCCCCCCCCCAATTGCTTGGAACCAGACTGCGCTCGCAGTAAGACAGGCCATAAGACAGGGCATACCGGGATAAACCGAGGCCTGCACCGTTTCTTGGTCTTACTCTTCTTCTTCTTTTTCTTTTCAGACGGCGTGCTGCTGCTGCTGCTGTAGCTGCCTTGGTGCGTCGGGGTGTCATGTGAGCAGTAGAAGTAAGACCTGAGACCCTGTCGACATTGCGGATACAAGCTGCAATTGAGGGGATTCTGGACTCAACACACAGCTCTCCCAGCAGTAGCTTTCTGAGCTGCGAAACAGGACTCTGACAAAGACACACTCTGGCCAGTTCCCTCAACGATGGTCCACCCTAGAGGTAAAGAGGCCCCAATCAAGCTTAGAGAAGTTCTCTGTCATGAAACCATATACCCTAAGTGGTACCCACACACCCCGCACTACTACTGAAGTTGCAAGCACGGCTGCTGCTTCCGGAGGTGCTCCTTGGCTCGCTATGGGGGTTTTATCTCTTCGCGGATGCTACCATGCCATTCGATTCATGATGTTTGGTGACCCAAAGCCCTGCACATCCTGTACCCTACCGCCCGCAAGGCCTAAACCAACAGGAAGTCGGGAATCCAAACGCGAACCGAAAAAAAACGTGTAGAAGCGAACCGCAACCACAAAAAAACACGCGAACCATCGCAGGGAACGTGCAACCGAAACGAACCGAAACGTGGAACTCGAGAGGGGGCTGGACTGGGGAGGCTGCCTTCTGAGCAACGTCCTAAAAAGTGACTAATTGGTTGTGTGCCGTGTTGGCTGGTATTGCTTCCCGACCGGCCCGTTAAGGGCCCCGGTCGTTGCTTCCTTGGTGCGGCCCAGTCCACTGCCTGCGAGGGGGCCCCTGTCCTTCCCGACTCCTTGGGTTGAGTTAGCCTGGTTTCTCCCTCCTTTTTTCCCCTCTTTTCCTGCCTGCACCTCTTCTGCATTCTCCGCGCCTGCCTGTCGGATGCTTCTCTAGCCTGGGCTTCGCCCTTCCACTTCTTTGCACGGCCCCGACTGCGCGGGCTGCAAGTTTCACCGTGCGGTCCAAGCCACTGAAGGTACACTGTACTGCTTTGCTCGTGGGGCCCCCATGCCATCATGCTCTGCATTTGCCGGTGATCTCTCTCTGTTCGTGAGCAGGGAGGAGGGGTCCGCATGCCGGAGTCCTTTCAATTGCTTTCCTATGTAGTTGTAGAAAATCGAGCACGGATCGAACCAAAGCTCATGATAACCCCCACCCAAACCAACCACAACGATTTCGGTCCTGGCTTACTTTTCCTAACGAGCCGCACATCTCGTTCAGCGAATCCCATCTTTCCTGAACCAAGGATCCCTATGGCAATGCTCTTCTTCCCGGGGGCGTTGGCAGCTTTGGCACGCGCTAGTCGAATGCGCTCCCCGGCCGTGAGTTTACGCCCTCGGGGAGTGGAGGGTTTAGGGTTTAGGGTTTAGGGTTTAGGGTTTAGGGTTTAGGGTTTAGGGTTTAGGGTTTAGGGTTTAGGGTTTCGGGTTTAGGGTTTAGGGTTTGGGGTTAGTGTTTAGGGTTTAGGGTTGCACAGTAGTGGAAGCTGCCGTAGGTCTTGGCGATTGTGGTTTGAGGTTTAGCGCGCTCTCCAAAGAATCTCTAAGTGAAGCAGGGCTGGTATTCATCACTCGTATCCCCTCAAAAGGACACCCAATCGATACACTCACCAATATTTACAAGGAACCCTAAGTACACTCACCTTAAACCTAAACCCTAAACTCTACACCCTAAACCCTGAACCCTATACCCTAGACCCTAAACCCTAAACCCTAACAGCTACATAAGCCCCCACTTCAAATATGCAGCCTGACCTAAGCTACCGCTCTGGGGGCATCAGAGGTTCCATGTGTCCGGATCCCTTGTGTTTGCGTGGGGCCTCTGTCTATCAGGGGCTTCTTCTATCGAAAATGGTACCTGGTCCAACTTGGGAACAACCTTTGATCTGAGCCTGGATCTCGGGGTTTTAGGGTTTAGGATTTAGGGTTTAGGGTCTAGGGTTTGGGGTTTAGGGTGTAGGGTTTAGGGGAATAGGGTTTAGGGGTAGGCTTCCTAAGGCCAAGATTCCGAATCAGCACTGTGCCCCAGCTCACCCCGAAAGCCCCCGGTGTCCAGAAAACCCTTAAACTCTCAAAACCTTAGAAACCCTGAACCCCCCCAAATCCCCAAATCATCCTAACAAAACACAAAGCCCCAAACCCTAACCAGCCCCAAACCCTAAAGCCCCAAACCCTAAGCCCAAACCCTAAGCCCCAAACCCTAAAGCCCCAAACCCTCAGCCCCAAACCCTAAGCCCTAAGCCCTAAACCCTAAACCCTTGGCCCCAAACCTCAAGCCCCAAGCCCTAAACCCTAAGCCCTAACCCTAAACCCTAAAAACCCTAACGCGACAAAACCCTCAGCCCCAAAGTGTTCAAGATCTGGCCTCCAGGGCCTACGGCCGTCACGTCATCGCCGTCGTCCGCCGCAGTCGGCGGCTCCGCCGCCGCTTCCTGGCAAGACTGGTGTAGGGTTTCGGGTTTAGGGGTTATATTTGGTTGAAATAGGGTTTATATAGAGTTTAGGTAGGGTTTTAGGTAGGGTTCAGGATTGAGGGTTTAGGGTTTAGGGCTGAGGGTTTAGGGCTTGGGCTTAGGGCTTAGGGCTTAGGGGTTGGGGTTTAGGATTTAGCGTTGCAGCTTTGGGGGGTTTAGCGTGCTTAGGTGGTTTAGAGGGGCTTAGGGGGGTTAGGGGGGGGGGTTTAAGGGGGCTTAGGGGTTTAGGGGGTTTAAGGGGGGTTGAAGGGGCTTAGGAGGGTTTAGGGGGGGTTCAGGGGGGTTTAAGGGTTTAGAGTTTAGGGTTTAGGGTTTAGGGTTTAGGGTTTAGGGTTTAGGGTTTAGGGTTTAGGGTTTAGGGTTTAGGGTTTAGGGTTTAGGGTTTAGGGAGTCTCGAGTCTTGAGCCGGTCTTCCCAAGACCCGGGTGCCTTGGGCTCCTCGTCAGCCGGCGCCGCAGCGGGCGCCTCTTGGAAACGCTGAGGGCTTAGGGTTTCGGGAATAGGGTTTAGGGTTTAGGGTTTAGGGTTTAGGGTTTAGGGTTTAGGGTTTAGGGTTTAGGGTTTAGGGTTCAGGGTTTAGGGTTTAGGGTTTGAGGGTTTGAGGGTTTAGGGCTTGGGGATAGGGTTTAGGGTTTAGGACTTCGGGCTTCACAGTTTACGTAGGGTTTCGGGCTTCGGTGGTTTGGAGCTTGGGGCTCAGAGTTCAGTTCAGGGCCTGGAGTTTGGGGTGTTGGGGCTGTGGGGTTTCTGAAGCGCCAGGGCTTCGAGTGAAGGTTGCATTCTGAGCTTTCAAGGCATCAAATAGACCAGCCACTCTAAAACCCTAAACCCTAAACCCTAAACCCTAAACCCTACCCCCTTAAACCGATCCTCGGCCGGAGTCTTCTCCTTCTCCTTCTCTTTGTCCTTCTCCTTGTCCTGACTACGCTGCACGAAGCGCACATCGACAGCTTCAAGCAAATGAAGTCATGACTTGCAAATACTTAGTAGCCCAGTAACCATATTATATTAAGGGCACCTTTGTTTTGGTTGGTTACTGTATAAGGGAACCCAGAACCAAAAAATGGTAAAGGGTACCACTGGGCTACCAAGAATAAGAAATTAAAGACAAAGCAGACTTGCTGGCCTTGATGCTCACCCCCCCCCCCCCATGCGGCTGTAAAAGGTTCAAAAAACACACTGACGCAAAGTGCACGGCAAAGAGAAGGACCTTCTCCCTGTCTTTGTCTTTCTTGTCTTTCTCTTTGTCCTTCTCCTTGTCCTTCTTGTCTTCAGTGGAACATGACGGCGCGGGATTCGGGGCCATTCACTTGAAAGGACGTACTGGGGTAGAAGCCGCAAGCAGCAAGGCCAGGGACCTTGTCCTTCTCCTTCCTTTCCTTATCCTTCTCTTTACCCTGCCAGTTCAGTAACACCATCAGTTGTCACATCTTGGTTCCATATGAGACGTGCAGCCTCCCCCTGCGTGGGGAGTGAGACACTCCCAGAGGACAACTGCAGCGATCCCATGAGTAATACAGGGGCCTCAGTAATTAGAATAGGGTTTTGGGGGCTTATTGTGGTATGAATACCACTATTACCAATTGCTGCGACCCCTATATGATTCGCACATAGCTCAGCGGGAGATTGAGGGCCCCGGCCTTCTCTTTGTCCTTCCGTTCCCTGTCCTTCTCCTCGGCAATGGTTGCGAGGGAGCTCCCAGTTGCGAGGGCTTTGGGGCCTAGGGCTTGGGGCGGTTTCGGGCTTCGTTCTCTCTGAAGCATCCCTCCGTCTGTTCGAGGACAAGTCTGAGAAACTCGTGGTGACCCAAGCTTGCCGAAGCAATGAAGTTTCCGGATTCCAATTGCTTCAATCAGTCATGGGCTCCTTCCCGCGACTCCGACTACGATCCTTCTTCTTCTCTTTGTCCTGCGTCTTGCATGACATAAACAATGCTCACAGGGACAATGTGCCAAGTCAGCTCTTCCGACAAAATCAATGCCGTCCTTGTCCTTTTTCTTGTCCTGCAACCAGGACATCGCTGTGGAAGTCATATTCCACATGCGCTGCATACTTCCACTGCCAACTTCTCGAAAAAACAGACTGTCAGTGGGCACCGGAAAAGCTGAAGGCCTTGAGACTGCCTTCCTCCCTACTCCCAGGCCTTGTCTTTCTCCTTGTCCTTCTTCTTTCTATCTGCCGATTCGCTTCTTCCTCAGTCCGAAAGCGCACAGCTTGAAGGGATTTCACGTACACAACCTTGCTTCGCAGGCAAGACCACTCAAACCTCTCACTGAACATGCCCTGCTGCAGGACCGTGTGTTGAAACATGTCCTGGCCCCGGATTGACCATGCTTTGCGGAGGTGGATAAGTGCCGGGCGGCCCATTGCCCCCGGCCGGCCGCGCGCCAGCAGGGAGCGCAGACAAAATTGCTGCCACCTTGGCTCCATGGAGTTAGGGCACCCAGCTTGAAGAGGATGTTTGAACCATGGATGATGCACAGCGCGCAGTGCCACAAGTGCAACATACGGCTTGAGAGCTTCTAAGCCTCCGATAAGCTTGAGATTTCCAAGAGCTCCCAGCTGGGCACTGAAATCTTTGGATGTCGCAGAAGCAAGCCCGAAATCCTAAAGGCCCGAAAACCCTCAACCTGAGAAAAAAAAAAAGAACTGGCTCCGGGGTTGCGACCGCTCTCCGGGCGTCGAACTCCGGGAAATCCTCCCGCCGACGCCCTGCCCTACTCTCCAGCCAAAAATCCTGAAACAGCTGCGCGGCAGGCCGTGCGTCAGCAATCGGTTTCGGGGGCTTCGGGGCTTGAGGTCAGACCGCCTGCAATGTACTCCTTTCCCAGTGCATGTAACACTGAGCCTAAGCCCTGTACCCCCAAACGAACTCGAAACAAACCCGCAAACCCCAAACCTCGAGGCACATAGGGGACTACTGTACGCAGAACATCTGAGTTGATACTGCTGGTGAAACCCTAAACCCTAAGCCCTGAACCCATGGCTCCATTACTCAAATATCTCAGGGGCCACTGCCGAACCCGGAAGACGTCGCGCCAGCAAAGGCTGCGGGGTATCGGAGCCTGGGCTCCCAAGGCCCTTGGTTACACCGTTTCACCAACCCTAACTTAGGGTTTAGGGTTTATAAATTGGGGGTTAGGGTTTAGGGTTTAGGGTTTTGGGGTTTGTGGTTTGGGGTTTAGGGATAAGCTTCCCGACGTTGGATTGTCTCTTGCCGCTTGGAAACACCGGTCGGCCTAAATCCCTTAGTCGAAAACCCCCACAAACAAAAAAAATCCTAGACCCAGCCTAGGATGGCCCTTAAAGGCCCTAAACCCTAAACCCGAAACCCTAAACCCTCAAAAGATTCCCAAATGCAATCCTCCTAAGCCCAACAAGGGAAAGATATGAAACGTCCACCAAAGGCCTACCGAGCAGCGTTTTCTCACCTCACTTGGTAGGGGATAGGATTAGGGGGGCCCCTTGGGGATATAGACCCTCTGAATAAGGTCCCTGTTTAAGAGAGCCAGAAGAGGGTTAAGAAGGGGTTCCCTTTTAAGGGTCCCCCGTATCCTACCTAGGACTTGGGGCCCCGACACGGCGGACTCGACGCCGAGCTGGGCGCCGTCGCAGTCTCAGGGCTTCGGCATGGGAGAAACCGACATTCCGAAGCCGAAGCCCTGAACCCTAAACCCCCTAAGCCCTAAGCCCTAAGCCCTAAGCCCTAAACCCTAAACCCTAAACCCTAAACCCTAAACCCTAAACCCTAAACCCTAACCCTAGACCCTAAACCCTAAACCCTAACCCTAAACCCTAAAACGAGATCTGAGTTTCCAGTCTTCCGGCAGTTGGCTTTCCCTTCAGAAACCCCGCGGCACTGGAACTCTAGGGCTTGTGCCAGTAGACACCACATAGGGGTTCAGCTGCCTGCAACAAGGGGCTTGGCGCCCCACGAGTTGAGGTTGGGATATGAGCACTTCCCAATTTTGGGGGGGTACATCTTCACATACCCCAAAACACTATAATCCTCATGATAGGAACCCCCACAAAGGGGACCCCTGCTTTCGGAAACCCCCAGAAGTCTCAGAGCACATCTCACTGAATCACACCGTGGAGGGGCCTCAGGTGAATCGCTGGAGCTAATGCGCCGTAGGCTGTGGCGGCCAACAGCCTGCGCAAGCATCAGCATAAGACCAAGAAAGTGAATGGGGGGTTGTTCGTTGGGCTGACTAACTTTCAAAACTCTTAGAAAAAGACCCATATTCGGAAGAACCCCCCAACACACCAGCATCATGTTAGACGGGTGAGGGAGAGTGGACTCGATACTCTTGTGTGCCATGCTGTGCAGCACCAGGCTCCGCGGTTCATGAGGTCGCCTGAAAGGTCCTAGCTAAGCCCCCCTCCCTCTAAACCCTCTAAACCTCCAACCCCCCGCCCCCCTCCCCCGCAAAAAAAAAAAAAAAAAAAAAACTGCCCTCTGCCTCAGAAGCGCAGCGATGCCTTGGGCGGCCTGCGTTGAAGGCAAGAAGCACGGCAGCGGTAAGCCCTGAAACCGTAAGGCCATGATAGGTCATTGCAGGAATGATCGTTACTACAGTAGTAGCTGTAATCATCACAACATCTACCGTAGTTATTGCAAGCATCGTCCCTATCGTAACATTGAGCCATGGTGTATGAGGGCACCCGTGTAGCCCTTCGTTCATGACCTTCTCCTGACCCCGCAAGCGACCGCCCGTTGGGCCTCCCCACGAAACGTGGGTGGGTGGGGAGAGGCGGGGAGAGAGCATTCATGGTGGTGAAAGAACTTCCCAAAGTTTCTCCGCGATCAGCCCGCTAGCTAACCATGGTATAGTGTAGCCCTCCTTCTGGGCACACTAAATCAAAAAATGCCGCAGGGACCCCAACAAGGATAACGCAAATCAGAAATACCTATAGTCATCTGAGCCCGCTGAACCCTAAACGAAATCCTAAACGCAGAAGACACACATGGAATACTATAGCAATCCAACGGGGCCACCATCCTCAAAATACTTGTCTTCGTACGTCCAGGTTGCCCAGTACCCGAAAAATAGAAAGGATAACCCTAAACCCTTTTCTGTTCAAAGGCGTCACAACAAGTGAACAGGGGTACTCCAGTGGTCATCCTAAAACTCACAAAGCTTCTTACCGGTCCTACATGGAGGGGGGGGGGGGGGCTTGTCATCATAGGGCTCCTAGAACAAGGGGGGGGGTGTACATAAGGGTTCCCCCTATTTTGAGGAAATGCCCCATATGGGTAATTCTCTACATTAGGGTACCCTGCGTAGTACGGCACCCTTCTATAAGGACCCCAACAAGGGACCATGTAGAACCTAGATAGGGGGAATGTTTAATTCGAATAGGGTTTTGCGGGGCCACTATAGTATAAGTACATCGGGACCATAGGGGAATACTGTTAGTAACTTATTCCGACCCCCTATAGTACCCTAAACCCTAAACCCTAAGCCCTAAACCCTAGACCCTAAACCCTAAACCCTAAACCCCAAATGTTTAAACCCCCAATGTGCATTGGCACTCCCCCGCTCTCCGCTGGTGAGCACCTCAACAGCGCCGTGACCCGCCCGCACGGAGCCAAGGCAAAGGGACGCCTGGCACTGCTCAGCCTAAGCCCTAAAACCCTCAGCCCCAAACCCTAAGCCCCAAACCCTAAACCCTCAACCCTCAACCCTCAACCCTAAACCTTGAACCCTAAACCTTGAACCCTCAACCCTAAACCCTTGACCCTCAACCCAAAGCCCTATGTCTGGAGAATCCAGGGCCTGCCCAGGCTTCTTCAGGTCTCCTGCTTTCTGGGTGGTGCTTGGAAGGTGGCTGCGTTGACTTCGTAGAACTCCTCTGTTAAAAGAGGACCCAGAAGGGGTCCCATCTTGTAGACACCCCAAGCAGGGTTTAGGCTTTAGGGCTTAGGGCGTAGGGCGTAGGGCTTCGGGCTTAGGGCTTAGGGAACATGTCTAAGGTGTGAATCTCAAGGTGCAGGCCGTCGCTGTCGGAGTTTTATTGGCCTCTGCAAGGGCAGTCGTGCGCGTGCGACGCCTTCGGCGACGACCTATTCTTCGCGGAGGGCCGCCACGGAAGGATTACATTCAAGCTGCACCGGAAACCCTTAACCTGCACTCTAGTCCCTTAGTATGGGCCCTAAAATTAAAAGGCCTAAACAACCCAAGGGCCAGAACCCTTTAAAGAGGGTAAGGGACCATCTTAAGGGCCCATACCCGAATAAACTCCTCAAACCCCCAAACCTTGCTTCCTGAGACAGCCCTCCGCCTCATTGGGCAAACAGCCCAGGGAACTGCCACGGCTGATGAGTGCATCCAGCTAGTTTATGGTCTCGGGTTTCCAGGAATCAGCTGCACAAGATTGCGGGTTTAGGGTTTAGGGCTTTGGGTTTAGGGCTTAGGGTTTAGGGTTTGGGGTTTGGGGTTTAGGGTTTAGGGTTTAGGGCTTCAGGAATAGGAGCTTCGGAGAACACTGAAGTGTGTGATCCTTGTGAGGTCGTAGAACCGATTTGACGAGGCAGCTGCAGTCGCAGAATCTTGGGAAGGCCATACGCGGCGCGAGCAGCACCAGGTCTTAAGGGACGGAGGGACCCTTAATATTAGGCTTACTTATGTATTTACAATGAAAACAAAAAAGAATATATATATATATACATAATACAAATATTTACGAAATATATTCAAAAAAAAGTAATAGGACTCAGAGTCCCTTCAAAAGGGTCCCAGGTTTGATGCTGGATCAATCCCTAAACGCCCAGACTCTAAGCACTCAGGAGCGTTGAAAACTGAAACGGCGAAGCGAGAAGCAACGCGTAGGCGCCAGGTCTGCGGCCATTAAGCGTCCTCTCCTAAAGTAAGCCCTTAGTCTTTTGCCCTCCACGCACAGCCCTAAGCGCCCCAAACATCCCAAAGCCCGAAGCCCGAAACCGCATGGTGCCTTGGTTACCCAGTCAATGGCTTACTCCAAATCCAGAGGCTGCCCAACAACCAAAGGTGGGGCATTACTGGGCGTCCTAGCAAATCCGTCGTTGCCGCCTGCGCAAGCATCTCCCATGCCGTAACATTTCGACTGGCACTTTAAGTGCCGAGGCAGTGGCCGATGAGTTGTAGCCTAGGGTTGGGGTTTAGGATTTCGAGGCGGATACCAGGAGTAACAGCACTTGTGCCCAAAACAGGACATCAACGGCGAAGCAGACGCACGGGAGCAGTCCTAATAATTCCAACAAGCGCTATTGAACTCACACATCTGGCGCAAACATCCAGACAACATTTCTTAAGATCGGCCATTGCCCGTTGCGATCATGCAACAGTTTTGCCGCGCAGATCTCCTCCACACCATAGAGTTCAGGCAAAGGCTGCGTTTTACTGGGGCCATGAATATGGAGGAGTCCCACCAGTGGATTCCGCCCGGCT